TGAGAAAAATTTTTTTTTTTAATGAAGAAGAGAAAACTCCTTACTTACAAACTTAAGTAAGTTATCTGCAAAACTAGAAAATTTTCCAGCAATTCTTATAGTTATTGAGACTTTAGTGTGATTTTTGTAATTATTAGTTGAGAATTTAGTGTGATTTTAGTACTTATTAGGGGTTTAATTACCGTGAAATGCTGACAGCGGTGTTTCTTTTTCTTTCTTTTTTTTTTGTCGGGTGTGCAGGNATCTTTTGCCAGGGCGGGGTTACTGTGTACTTTATCCTATATCAAATTTGGAGTAAATTGAGTTACCGTCTTCACGTTGCTCACATGGTACGTACATCTTAGATTACTTCACCTACAATCACTAAGTCGTAACTCGAACTAGGCACTGACCACTTGAGTATATGTCATGTCAGCCAACAAATTAAGGAAAACAGAAACCTAAGACTACCTAGATAATAACTTACAGGCGTGTAATATTTCTTAATTTCAATCTAGATCACCAGCTAACAAAGAGGCGCGCTGATAAACTGTCTATGAGTAGCACTCTAAGGTCTTAAGTTCGACTCTTCTGAATAACATCCACACGAATTTAATTTCGTGGAATACCCAAGGCCGTACTGTCGTGGAATACCCAAGGCCGTACTGTGGGGTGCTGTTTAACCACCTCCAGGGTTTCAAACATTAAAAAAAAGCCATATGTGTAACAAATTAATCAAAAAAAACACAAAGTTCATGAACTCACCAATTAAGACTGAAGCTCTCGGTAACGAGAATCAAAACGTAACCGATCTCCCTCCCCTTCAAAATCTGCGCCGCCAGATCAAACGCCACGGCCCCAGCGCTGCACCCCATCCCCGAACAAGTTGTACGCCTTCACCGTCTCCTCCAGCCCGAAACGATTCACAACAAGGCTCGCCAGCGACGGCGCCGGCGAAAACATGCTGCAGACCACGACCAGGTGCGTGACCTTCTCCTTCTCGACCCCTCTTGTTCATCAAGGACTCCGTCGCCCGAAAAGGCTCTCCTCGGCCTCCAGCACCGCGTTGCTGAACTTGGTAGTCGTAGTTCGGTCTGGAAGACGAAGGGAGGGCCGTAGAGTCTCGTCGCCGAGGCCGGACTTGCTGTAGATGGCGCGCATGAAGTCGGCCGTGTGTCGGATTAAGCGCGGGAGCGGAGGCCGAAGTACTCGCAGATCTCGAGGTGCAGCGGCGCGTCGAGGCCACAGGGCCGGTAGCAGGAGTAGTCGAGGAGGAAGGACGGGGCCGGGGGCGGTGAGGAGGTAGGAGGCGAGGGAGAGGGAGGCCGCAGTAGAGAGAGGGAGAGGAGGAGGAGGAGCGGTGGGGGTGAGGGGAGGGGAGGGGAAGGGGAGGGAGGGAGCTAGCGTTATTAGGGTAATAGGATGAAGATCGGCGGTTTATACTTCATTTTTTTTTATTGTCGTGCTTCGTTGTTGCGAGGCTTGTGGTTGGCGGGGGTTTTATAGGCGGAGAGGGAGGTATGTGAGGGGGAAGTAATGAGGGATAAGCGCGAAAAATTGATGAGGCTCACCTAACTACAGCAGCAGAGGAGGTCAATACTTCTCTAGAGTAATTTTTGGATTAATTTCACTTCTTTAGAAGACAAAGCCCGAGTTTTGGGGCCTTTGTCCCTCTCGACCGGATGGCTAGGCCCGAGTTGGACGGCTTTCGGGCCGACCCGGCCCGGCTGTCATGTCTAGTTATTACCCCTACACTACTTTTACATTACGGGGGAGAAACTTAAATGATCTATTCTCTTCAACTTTTCTCAAAACTAACGACTAGTCAAGGAAGTCTATACTTCTCTCTTGTAATGAAGAAGTAGCGTGGAAGTGAACAATGTGGTTATCATTATTCAATTATTAATCCAAATTTAAAATTTGAATGTACAGTCTAAAGACGATTAGGTAGTAATGCATACACTATCTTAAAAATCGAACTTCTGATGATTTTAATGTGTTTTAATCATGTAGAAAGTAGAAAAAATTGAGAAGCTTTTTGATGTCATGGGACTCCGTAGCGAGACTATGCTTAGGGTGGATACGGACGAAGTGGGCTCCCTCATCCACTCGAGTGACTGATCCCCTATTTTTAAGACAAGTAAACTGCAAAATAGGCATGTTAGAGGACCAGAGTTTAATTCTTTGATGACTACTCCGACAGTCAAGTCCGTACAAAGCTTGAATGGAGAATCAATGAACTGAGTAAGTTCTTTATATACATATGGTGAGATTATTTGGTTAGAAATGTGTACATGTGACCCCTAGGGGGCCTAAAAAGGATCCTTGATCAGTGGGCGATGAGCCCATATATATACCCAGCTGAGAGGGGTAGAAGCGTAACTCTGACCGGGTCCACACAGACAGCTAGATCAGCAGATAGCTTTACAAGTGTTGATTGCATATGCGATGAGCCACCATTAATTTGATGTGATGGTGATTAAGGAGGTATGGTGAGTGATGAGTCATGGAGACTAGTATCACTAGCCATGATGATGATGGACAGCTGTTGGCGTGGAGTTTGAGGACGAACCGCCTCTCGACTCGGCTCTGCGAGCTGGACAATAAATACCATCTTATTGTTAACCTCGCGAGTTGTCGACCCGGCTATGAGTAAATGAGGTTTGTCGACTCGAATGATAAGGATAAGCGAGAACTGGTCTTGACTCGTCCTGACTTGAGAAGGGTCGAGTGCCCAGGTCACCCGATCGCCCCTGACTAGGGTGATCTGATTGCTAATGTGGGACATGTGTTGACTCGAATATGAGGATTAACACTTGGTCTAATTATTGTCATAAAAAAAAGATAATGTGTAATAGATCACATTTAATGCTGCAAGTTCTTCCATTTTGAAAAACAACCTTTAATTTTGGACCAATAGTGTCCATAATTTTCTATTTTTCCGACCAGTATACTCACTTAAGTAAAATAAAAATAGGCAAATATTACGGTAAAAGTTGTTCTTTCTTTAATTAGTAATTGAACTTATATTGCAACATGAATGTTTACACGAGTCATGGGTTTAAACTTGAGTTATCTTTCATCAAGATGTTAATTAATTTCAATCAAAGTTAAACGGTGTTTGGGTCTGTTGAAGATAATAACCTATATCCTCTTGATATCCTGTCTTCTTTATTAGATAGCACATAATTAAGTATTAGGCAGTATATTTTCTCTTTATCGTTTCATTTTCTACCTTTATCGGAACTTTCTATACTTTATCTTCTTCTTGTATAAATGCAAATAACCACATGCTCATATAAAATGTCAAACGTACTTCCACTATTTATCAGGATAAACTTTCAATTTCCCCTGGCCGGCTACCATGAAAGAGTGAGTGAACGAGTCATGGGCCGCAGGCCCCTACCTATAGGGCTCAGTATTGGCCTTCATGAAGGATGTGTCATATCATGGGGGCTTTATGGTGCTATAAATGATTGAAGATTTAGTCCCATTCCATTAATTATTTGAGAGAAATAAGAGGCAGCAAGCTCTCCAGTTAAAATGGAAGAGCAGAATATTGAAGTAGTCGCTAAATCCAGCAGGCCTTTTTTAATTCTATGTCGGTAGCTTTTATAACATTTGCAAGTGTTGACTCTTTGGTAACTCCTGGCCTAGCCATTTTCCTACTAAAATTTTGTCCCATTAGTACCTTCTAAGGACTCATAGATGTGGATCTAGCTCCTCATCTGCTTATACTATCATTTACAAGTATTCAATGAGAATGTATCATGAGAACTAGTTGATACTGAATAAATGTCCTCAGAATTAGTGGAAAATATTGAATTGATGTTGGTTATTTGGGTTAATTTCACAAAAACCCTTTGAACGTTGGGGGTGTTACATATAATCCATCTGAATTTTGTTTATCTCACGTAACCTCTCTAATTTTTGGGTGTCTTACAAAGCCACTTGAATTTCAAACTTTTTCACCGAACCACCTAACATGTAATTTGTAAATAACTAAAATTTTCTTTAGGGGAAAAAAAATCCAAAATCTAAGAGAGAGCATGTTACCTGTAAAAAAACAGATGACAAAGTTTGAGATTTTTTTCTCTCTAGAGAATAGTTTAGTTATTTACAAATTATAGGCAGAGGGATCAGGTCAGATAAGGGAAGTTCAAAGGTGTGAGACGCTCCAAAAACATGCACCCAAACAAAAAATTCAGAGGGGATTTTGCGGAGTTAACCCTTGCCGTTTATCAATGGTTATTGTGCTCGACCTGTCGTAATTCACTTAGATCATCCAACGTACTTTTATCGAGATTCAGATTTTCTTTATTGTAAAAGGGAGACTTTTGTTTTGGTCACAGTTATTGATGTGTATAGTGGATTAATTTGATTTGTTTTTTTAGTATAAAATAGAAATGACTACAATTCATGAGAGTTATGATGTGCGCTAAATTAGAATAAATCAGAACCGCCTATTAGACAAATTACCAGAAATAACACATGCAATGACCTCTTCGATACTTTTTGACTTGCCCTAATTTTATTGTTCAGGAGTCGAGTTTGGATGTATCAACTATGTCTTCTTGAATTAAAGTTCGAATTGTTCCTTTAAAAAAAATAAAGAATTTGATAGTAAAGAGCATTCAAATTACTTTGATGTAGCCAACTGCCAACCCTAGGCAGAATCCAAAGATTTTTTTTTTTTTTGGATTAAACCATAGCCCTCTAGACTTGACCGAGCTGAAACAAGCCTCGATTATGGGCTCACTTTAGCTTGGGCCCTTTTTGACGGTAGCCCATGTATAGCCTTTTTCGGCCTTTCTTATCGGCCTACTTCACAATCAATAACTCCTTTTGGATTGCAAGCATCCACAAAATAGTGTGACGCTAACAAATTTAAAAAAAAAATTCATTATTCAGGATATAATTTTCTAAACCAGAACTGATTTAATACCAAAACTTAACCGTGATAATTTTTTTAAAAAAAAATCCAGATTAATTTATCATAAATAAGATCAGCCTTTTGTATGATGTGCGACGATAACAAAAATGCCAAGTCTTGTTCTTTAAACATTTTTTTTCTTCAACTGCCATTGTGTTATAATTTTGGTCATGTACGGAAGCATAAACCATAGTCAAAGTCCCAACAATCGCATTCAGAGCCACACGGAACAAAAATATTCTAAAAGAAAAAGGTACAAGCTGTAATGGCCTGCTAAAGCCGTTAGATTCCCGGGATGCGAAGTGTATGAAATCATTCCATGACGTGATGACATCCACATGAACAATTTTGCCTTTTTAATGGTGTTTTTCCATCTCTTTTCACCATGTAAGCATCTACCCATACAAGGGTTCTATTGAAGACCAGTCGGAAGCGCACGTGCCACACGTGCATGCTTTGTATTATTATACAATAGATGTCCCGCAGAATTGTAGAAGTGTGTATAACAAGAGGGTATACAGAGCACTCAATATAATTACCGAGAAAAAAATCATATACGAATATACGTGCTACCTATAGTTTGACCGATAGATAATATGTTATCCTTAAGGAGATCACCAAATTCAGGTCTAGAGTTCACTGTTGGTGTGGCTAAAGTTAATGCTGAGTTATAAACACACATATCATGTTGAATTCCATTGTAGAAGAACCTACATCATAAGAAGGGATCCCAACAAAATCAGAGAGCTCGTCAGCAGCGTAAGTTCCGGGGAGTTTGCTATAACTGCCGCAAGGCCGGGCACCAGGCATTTGAGTGTAGCAGTACACCAACAAGAGATCAGAAGGGAAATGGTCCGAATCAGCAGCAGCAGAAGACTGAGGGGCATGTTCTAGCAGTTCAGGAGGTTCCCCAGGGGCAGATTGTCCCATATTCTCCAACACCAGCAACAGAGAAGTATTCATCCATCGGCAGAGTATATGCAGTAGTTCCGCATGATAATGGAGCAAGCAGATCAGTTATGGAGGGTACGTCCCTCATAAATCCTTTTCCCCGCCCGTATTCTTTTCGATTCTAGAGCTTCGTGTTCTTTCATTTCGTATGCTTTTATGACTAGACTCCAAATCGTAGCTCAGCCCCTAGACATTCCATTATCGGTTTTCCATACCTTTAGGTGGGGTATCGCTTCTGGAGAGAATTTGTAGGGTGTGTATTATTAGTCTAGGTGAGTCGGAGTTTGTTATAGATTTG